TAATATGGGTTAGGGTTGCAATTAGGGTTAGGGTTAGGGTTAGGGTTGTGATTAGGGTTAGGGAGGAATGCCCATTGGAGATCAAGATATTCTTCAATAACTTGTTTTCTGAAGATCACAGAGACTTGGAAGTTGGTTCCATTTCCACTAATGTGGCTATTCCCGATCCATTGGGACCATCCCTGAGCTTCTACAACCTTCGGAAATGGTGAAACCACCAAATCTAAAGAAAATAGTACAAGATATTCTTGAACAACTTTTTTCCGCAAGTCATAGAGACTTGGCCATTTCGGGATTAATAAAGGGTAGACTGCCACACAACCACACCGAATTTCAGTAAGTTTTCGAGCAAGCAGCGCGGAGTTATTCACCCTATGGTGAATATGGGTTAGGGTTGCAATGAGGGTTAGGGTTAGGGTTAGGGTTGTGATTAGGGTTGTGATTAGGGTTAGGGATGAATACCCATTGGTGATCAAGATATTCTTCAATAACTTTTTTTCGGAAGGTCATAGAGACTTGGGCATTTCGGGATTAAAATGTGTACTTGGGTCCAAAATGTAAATGTGCCAGATTTAGCCATAAAGGCTTGTTTTCATCTGCAGTCCCTGGCAGTTTGATGTTAGAAATCATACAGATAACAAATAGACATATAAAACACAGAAGTTTGTGCACGGACACAAACAGAGGCACATGGAAAACATAAGAACGACCAACAAACTTTGTATTGCCAAAACTACAGAAAAACAGGAGAATCAAGTTAAATACACAAAACAATGTGTCAGATTAGACAGAGAAAAGAAAACAAGTCCAAAATAAATAAAGCAAATCACATAATAAGCCTTTGACTTTTAACCTTTTTTATTTATTCATTCCTTTTTATTTTTGGTTGTCTTTATTGAAATAACAAAGCATGAAATGGTAAGAGAGAAGGAGAAGACATGCAGCATAAAAAAATACATCAAATCTTTTCTCATAGGCTCACATTATATTGATCGAAAGCAACAAAGCATACAGAAATAATAACCATAATCCATTGCAGATATATTCACATGGCAAATTAAAAACTGTATGATGTCATTCAAATGTGATTGAGAAACTCTGAGCTAAGGGTTAAATAACAGTGTTTGCCAAACACCTCCAGAACAACAAGTTATACATTAACAAATATATTCTTCTTCTTAGTTTAGTAGTCTCTGGTGGCCTTGCCTTTGTGTCGTGGAGGCAAGTTGGAATAGCTAAATAGCACTGCACTATTTACAAAGCCCAGAATATAAGTGGAGCCACAGTTATGAATGAACAGACAATAAAAAAATAAAAGCAACAAAATCCCAAACACACAAAGGTTCGTTTTTTTTCTCTGAAAGAAAAACATTTATTTCTTCACAATTATTTACAATCAAAGTTATTCTATTAGAAGTGCACCAGAGTACAGTTCAAACAAGAACAACAGCAGTCGAGTGATAAGTAAGCTTCTTTATGAAATTAAAGTGTCACAGATGAAACAAAAGAAAAAGTGTCACAGATGAAAGACCTGCAAATACAATGAACAACAACCAGTTAGTGCACAGTAAAAACACACACAGACACACACACTTTCAGGCATATCTGTGTACACACACCCACAGGTTTCAGTTAAACAGCAAGAGAGGAAGAAAGGAGAGAGCAGGACGGATCATGACCTCACCTTCTCAGACCAGGGGGTAGCTGGATGCAGTAGCAATGCCACACTGGTTGTGTTTGTTCCTGCTCATCTTGATGTATCCCTGGTCTCCCCAGGTTAGACCCCAGCTACACAAACACACATCAGCAACCATATTCAGCTGCTCTATATATTAAATGGAATCATTGTCAAAAACAACAGTATACAGAAAAAACACTGAAAAACACCAATAAAAGTAATGGCAGTATTAATATCAATTAAAGAAGCTGATATAATCCTGGCTGAGATTCACTTCATTTTAGTTGAGCTGTAACAGTTACATTCAGGAGAGGAGCCTGCATTTCAATACCCGTATCTACCTGTTCTTAACCAGCCAATAGTCATGTCCGTCTTTACTGCCGTAACCCACAGCGAGTACACCGTGATCCAAGTCTGTGCTGCTGCAATCCGGCTCATCATACACTCCTGGAAACAAGCATACATTAGTCAGGCTTGTAGATTGGTGAGTACATACATAATTTTTCATATTTCTTACAAGAATGTAATATAGACCTGATTCGTATAACTGGAAAGATGGATTAGAAGCATCGATGGCCACAGACACGGGTCCAACAGTGGCCACAGCCTCCTTCAGGGCGTCTTCATCACCTTGTTCTACATCAACGTAGCCGGTGCATTTGGCACCGATGGTGGCAGGGTTGTAACGGCACTGTCCGTCCTAATTCAGAGACAACATTATAATAATATTAAAAACTTTATTTATGTAGCACATTTAAAAACAGGCAATACAAAGTACTTTACAAAGAGGACAAATAGTAACAACAATACAATAATCAAAGACAAGAAGCAAATTAATCATTTTAAAGTTGAAAGGAGATAAATTATGTAACATTAAAAGTAACAGCAAAAGTAAAGAATAAAAACAACTTAAGTTGTAGCAACAACAAAAAAACATTAATTAGTTTTCCCATGTTGACACACCAAACCAAAGAGGTTTTAAATAGTTCTTGTTGACTTTGAACTGAGAGCTTGCCAGGGTTTAGTTGTCTTAAATGTTGTGACCACAAGGTGGCGACATCTCTCACATAAAAAAAACAAAAACATTCTCAACTCACTTCAACTCAATCTTTTTGCCCGACAATGACTAATGGCTGTTTTGGTTTCTACACAGTAGCTGCATTCAAATAATGTGACTTACATCCACATTGAATGTGCATTGTTATTTCAACTAAACCAGAGTTGTCCTTATACCTCTGCCTCATATGGGTAGGAGTCCTCGGTGTCTATACCTCCGTTGGCCTGGATGTAGCGGAAGGCATTGTCCATTAAGCCTCCATTGCAGCCATAGTTGCCATATTTACCAGAGCAGTCCACCAGCTGCTGCTCACTCAGGGACACCAGCTTCCCTGTCTTCCTGAAGTTCTGACCCTCCAGCGAACCAGTCTGGAAGAGAGTGAAGTGAAATTGAGACAGGAAAAAAAACCATCTTTGTTACCGGAAAAGGAAGAGGGGTTTTACATACTGTACTGAAGGCCCAGCAGGAGCCACACTCTTTCTGATCCTTGACGTCAGTGACGTAGCCCTTGTCCCTCCAATCGACAGTGTCTGGCAGATCAGTGACTTCAGACAACCGTAGAAAGGAGGAGCCACCACGAGGCAGAGAAGTGTTGAAGGAGCCCAGGCAGCCCTGAGAAACCAGGTGCTTGTACTCCTCATTTTCCTGGGGAGGAAGGACAAATATTCAGACAGCCACTTTATCCATAATGCCAATCACGCTGTTGCCATGATCTTGCTGCAACCCACTGATGTGTTTAGTGCACAAATTCAACAAATGGTGCCATAAACAGCCATCTATCATACCAGGTCTGCAAAGTAGGTCATGCCAAGGCGGTAGGATTTGATGCCCTGATCAGCCATGATATTGTGAACCAGCACCAGTTTGCGGTTTCTGAGCCAGATTTGCATGCGATGAGCCTCCTCTAATGGAGAGTTGTAAGATCTTCCTGCCAACCGGAGACGGAAAAATCATAAAAAACACAGTAAATGGCGCTGTTTTGAGACACTTGAATGACTGCTGGAGCAGTATGGAGGAGGAGGATTTTTTTTTATGTTTGAAGACGTATATAAATACTTGTATTGGATATGGCTGCAACGCTGTTTACTCTTGAAACTCCAAAAGGGTTGATCTGTAACTTAAAGTGCAACTGAGCACACATTTCTCTGAATTTAAGTCTTACATCTTAAGGCCTGTAAACTCTGTAGGCCTTATAGATAAAATCTTTCTATATATAATTATATAATTATATATCTGGCAATAAGACAAAGCCGTCTGAAAAGAGTTAACACTGCCTCACCAAACTTGAGTTTCCAGGCGTGGAACTCCAGGTCTTCCAGGGACACGCTGGCACAGCTGGCCACGGCCAGAGCGGCAGCAAAAACCAACAGCAGCTTCATCCTGACCGACTAAGAAAAAGAGAAGAAATCCAATGTGACTTGAATCCACACAATTTGAGACTGAACTCTCTCTACTTCAGCTTTGCTCTGAAAATTGTTGTCTGTCTTCTCCACCACAGAATCAGCTTTATTTCCTAGTGTAAATGAATCACAGTTTCATTCCTCCCCCCTTCTTATCTTATGAGTCTCTCTTTCTTCCTGGCAGCAGTGCAGCTACAGTACAGGAAGTGTGTGTGTGTGTGTGTGTTCCCTTACCTGCCCTTATGTCAATTTGCACGGTGAAGTCCGAGGTACAACCACCAGATGATGCAGGGCCGAACCAGAGGGCCACACTTATAGCTGTGTATGTTTATGAGCTGCAGTTCATCCAGTCAGGTGGTTTCATAAGATCAGAAAGAGAGAAGTATGATTGTCAGCAGCACATTAAGTTAGAAAGACAAAAAGGAAGTCAATCATTGAAACCGGGAATGAGGAGTCATGAGTTCTGTCTGCATGATAAAAATTTTCTGGTAAACATATTTCTCAACCATAGCAAAAAAAAAAACATGAGCATTATGATCTAATCAGTTAGTTCCTTAGGAATTTTACAGCCACTTAAAGACGGAACACAGTCTTGTCTCTTTGTGTGAAAATGCTGTTTCATGGGGAAATTGGGAATTCTCTCAAAGAACAAAACCAAATCAGACAGCAACACATACATGTGCTAATTTCCGCCCTGTTGAAACTTTACTATTTAAATTATGCCACTCGAGAAATATAAGTGCGAAGCAGGTGGGAGTGTTTCAATTTCTCAGAAATGTCAGTGGTACATTCCACTCACTCACTGAGAGTTTGTTCAAGGGATTTACCTGAATGATAAAGTGTTTTTTGAAATTGTGCCACCCACCTTTCCTTTCTGATAATAATAATACATTTCATTTATATACCATTTTATTAACAATGTTCCAAACTTGCAAATAATACAAACTTTATTTGTATAGCACTTATCTAAATGAGGTTACAAAGTGCTTCACACAAAGGTCCATGGCATAATAAAGAATGGATTGTGATAAAAGGTTTAGTGTTCAATCCAATTTAAGAGTCAAATCATAGCATAATAAGGTCAAGACCTTAAGTTTATAGAGAAACCCAACAGTTCCCATGATGAGTAAGCACGTTGGCCACTGTGGAGAGAAAAAAACTCCATCAAGTGAAAACCAGACAAGGCAGTTGACTAAACGAATATTGGCCTCATTAGAGATAAAGCAGTAAAAAGGACTTTTTTGGTTATTCTGTGGCAAAATAATGAGTTTGCACTGTCAGTCTGCCAATCAGTAATATTCAGATACATATAATACACACACAACTGCATTCATATTTCTTATTCCCTACATTTGATTTACTTTAATTTAATTTACTGTAATTTGAATGTTTTAGTCCAAACTGACATAAGCATCAAAAACAGGTACGATATAGAGCTTTGATACGCAAGGGTGAAATCAATTTTATAAAATATGGTATCCATAAACTTGTCTTCAGGAGACGTTTTCCCCCAACTTGCCATGCACACATTCAAGAAGCTATGAGTAAAGTATATTTGTCACATTGGAAAGCCTTTTTATATAGGTGTGCACAGAGCATAGACTTGGTAAACTCATTTTAGAAAGGTGCTTTGTAAATGTGATTGTACTTCCTTGAACACACAAGCCTTGAGTCAGTGCAAACAGTTGAGTAAGTTTATTGTGTGGGGACATGAAGATATGTACACTGGGATTCTTGAGGAGGTTGAAATGTGTTTATATTTATGAATCCTTTACAAAATCAGGTAAACAGTTTCAATCGGTAATAGTTTCACCCCCTTTCACAGTTTATGTTGACCTTTGCCTAAATGTGTGATTTATTTTAAAGGTACCAAACAATACACATCAATTATCATTCTTGAGTCCAACAGATTTTGTCAGATTTGGCCTTAAAGGCTGGTTTTCACCTGTGGCAGGTTGATGGCAGTAATAATACAAATTACAATTAGACACAAACAAAGGCACATTTCACATGGAAAGCACAAATACACAAATAATCAGTAGAAACAATACAGAGACAGGTGTATTTTGGCATCTTATCTTCATCATCATCTATTGACACTGTCTTCCCACTACATCTAAAACAGCAAATTCAATTCAATTCAATCCTTAATGTGCATGTTTTAATGATTAAAAAGAGCTTGTTTTCGTTAAAAGAAAAACTTAATATCTCAAATCAGAGCAGAGTTGAATTTTCAATGACACATGCATATTTCATAAGGTTTCAAAG